AGGAGTTATTCATTGAGTTACACCAGGAGTTATTCATTGAGTTAAACCAGGAGTTATTCATTGAGTTAAACCAGGAGTTATTCATTGAGTTACACCAGGAGTTATTCATTGAGTTACATCAGGAGTTATTCATTGAGTTACACCAGGAGTTATTCATTGAGTTAAACCAGGAGTTATTCATTGAGTTAAACCAGGAGTTAATCAGAATTAAACCTAGAAATAATCACAGAGTTAAACCAAGTGTATCATTCAGGAAGACTTACCTCCTCTGCTCTGGGGGGCATGTCTGTCAGGGCCTCCTGAGCTCCTTTCACTGCATGAATCCACAAGAAGAGGAGAGCATGTCAGTACACACACACACACACACATTTGTTCTTCTGTCCTTATGGGGACTTTACACTGACTTATACTCATTTACTGGTCATTTCTGTAGCCTCAACACTTACCATAAGCTCAGTTCACACCTTAGTCCTAATCYCTGACCCTAACCCTAACCAAGCCCAGTCCCCAATGGGGACCAGGCTTTTGTCCCCATAAGGAACAGAGGATTATAAAATCAATGAAATTTCAGATGTAAACAGGTGTTTTTAAGTCCTTTAAGGTTCTTACGGTTCTTCAGCTGGTATTCAATGGCTGCTTTGAGGTTGAAGGCTTCGATGAGGGCTGTCTCATGAAGAACCAGCGTGTTCCCCACACTGTGCACGTCGATGCCTTCAGTCTTTAACCCGATGCTCAGCTCTGACAACAGACAGAACATGTGAGAAACCAAAGTTTAGATGTAAAGAGACCAGACRGCTGCACATCCACAGAGTCAACACTTCCACCTGGATGTTCAGTGATTCCTCGTTCAATGATGTCTGTGATGTAGACCAGGGCCTGGGGGTAGTTCTTCAGGCTGTAGTAACTCAGGGCGATGTTGTAGGACAACGCTGACAGAACAACAAGAAGAGCCATGAGACACCTGGAGGTTCCTGCAGACTCATGTCATCTAACAGGTGTTCAGTGGACTGAACCTGTACTGGACTTATCAAGTCCCTACAGACTCCTGAGCTCAAATCATTCACCCATTCATCTGTTCACTCATTCATTCACCCATTCATCCATTCACACGTTCATTCACCCAGTCATGATGGTCAGCTACACTGTAGCCACAGCTGGGACAGTGACAGAGAGGGGGCTGCCATGCACCGGTGGCACCGGACCCTCTGACCACCATCAGCAGGTAAGGCAGGTGAAGTGTCTTGCTCAAAGACACAACAACTGAGACAGCTGGACAGGGGATAGAACCAGCACCCCAGCAGCAGTTAACCAGTGCAGGACATCTCTCAGCACTGGGCCAGGTTTGGTGTTGCTTCAGAACTCCTGGTCCCAGAGAAGAACCAAACCTTTACTGGTCTAACCTGATCTACCTGGATCCATTCAGGTGCTGAGTCAGGGGTTCTGGAGACCCTGCAGACCTCGTTAGTGAGTCAGGGGTTCTGGAGACCCTGCAGACCTNTGAGTCAGGGGTTCTGGAGACCCTGCAGACCTCGTTAGTGAGTCAGGGGTTCTGGAGACCCTGCAGACCTGGTTATTGTTCTGTTCTTTGACCTTTTCTAATGAAAGCATCAGAGCTGAAAGATGTGGGCCTTAAAGAAGAACTCCTGTTTGGTTCTTTGAGCTGTGTCAGGCTGGTTCACAGCACAGAACAGGTGTTTCTTCAACAGGAGCTCCTGGATGTCCCTGTGCTCACCTGGCAGGTATCCCAACACCTGCATGGCAGACAGGAAGTTCCTGCAGGCCTCCTCATGTCTGCCCTCCTGATACAGCAAACAGCCCATGTTGAACACGTAGTCTGGATCATCTGGAGGCAGCTGCTCCAACAGCAACTGTAGACACACAGAACCAGGTCYGGTCAGAACCAGGTYCAGTCAGAACCAGGTCCRGTCAGAACCWGGTCCAGTCAGAACCAGGTCCAGTCAGAACCAGTGATGAAAGCAGCAGAAGCACCTTGGCAGCAGAATAATCCTCCTCACAGTACTTGATGCAGGCCTGCAGCTTCACCATCTGAGACAAACAGGACAAAAGACACAAAGTGTCTCAACACATGGACAGTGTCCACAGAGGACAGGACTGTGAGGACTGAGCTCCTGGTCTGTACATGTTGTTGTTTTTACAGAGCATGAAAACACATCAAACCCTCTGAGTTTCTACTTTCATCAGAATCTAAAGTCCAGGAGCAGTCGGAGCACAGCTGCTGCTTTAGAGAAGCAGTCCTGGTCCAGGTGGGTCCGGCTGCAGGTCTGGTACCTTAGTGTGCGTGTTGGGGTTGTCCAGAGCAAACGAGGCCTTGGTGGCTTCAGGGTAGGCCCCGGCCCTGTACAGAGACTGGGCGTAGTACAGTCTGTAGTCCTCCACCTCAGGGTGCAGCTGGCTCAGCTGCTCGTAGCACTCTGCAGAGCTGCTGAAGTCCTGCAGGTGAAAGTAGCAGAAACCCAGCAGAGACAGGGCCGCCCTGGACTGAGAGACGAGAGGAACACAAAGAGTCATCATCTGGATCTGTCATCATCAACTGAACCCTGATCCTGATCCTGATCCTRATCCTGATCCTGATCCCTAAACCAGGATTCTGTCCAAACTTTCAGCAGGATTTTTTACCTGCTCTGAACTGAAAACATCCACCTGCTGACTCTGAGGGTTCTGGTGGTTCTGGTGGTTCTGGTGGTTCTGGARGTTCTGACTCACCTTTGTGTGTTTCTGCAGCTGGCTGCTCAGGATCTGAATGGCTTCAACATATTTTCTATCTTTAATCTGAAAACAGAACATTTCCTGTTAAAGTTTTTAATTTGACTTCCTGTGAACACGTGCAGACTGAGAGGACATTTATTCATGAATAAAACCTTATTTAAACAAGTTSAATATAACACTAACTTCACGCTAAATGATTTATTATAAAAATCTTTTTAAATTAAAGTCAAACCTTTTCTTATTGATGCCGAATTTTAGAGAAGAGGTAACATATACACATGTGTAATATAATGCGTGTTTATCTGTAAAACATAATAAAAAAAAACAACAATTTAAAATTACTACAACGTAGTGTGGCGGAGCGTGGCCGCTGCTAGCCGTTAGCTTGAAGCTAAAGTAGCTRAAGTAGCTGAAGTGTTGTCCTCACCAGTCTGTAGACCGTAGCCGTGTATTCTCCGTCTTTAACAGCTGCCATGGCGACAGGATGAACGTGAAGAAACACAAAATGTTTGTAGTTTTTCTCCAACTCGGTTAGCTAGCTCATCCTCACGGAGGGCGTGTAGCTGTTACTTAGCAACGTCAACCGGAAATAGAAGCGTTGACAGGCGTGTGCAGCAGCCAATCAGTTAGGTTGAACTGGTAGATTTAAATCAAAGCTTCTCAGACTGAAGCAGATGCTTTAAACATTTAATTTTCTCATGGTTTCACGTCCTTATAAAGAAGTCTTTATTAATCCAGACAAASCCCTCTGAGACCACAGATGTGTTTGAAGGGCGGCCTGGGTCTGACCTGTTCTGATGTTTGTAGAAAACACAAAGTGTGTGTGAGTGTGTGTCAGACTGAATCAGTTTATCTTCTGTCTGCTCCTCATCATGTCCTGCTCCTGCTCTGCTGTTGTTCTTTAATAAACAAATGTCTCCTTTCTGTTTCAGCTGAACTCTGGTCTGCCTGCAGCTGCAGGTCCAAACCTCTGGAGCTGGTTCTGTCAGACACACTGACAACATTGTTAATGTTGAAATGATCAGACTGTGTCCCAGGAGGACGAACTAAAGGTTCAGAAGACAAAAAAAGAAAACTTTTATTCATTGTTCWTGTTAAAAGGATGATTTTAAAAAATATATATGTTCTGATTAATTATATAAAAACAATTAGAGAAAAGTAGATTATAGGAGAATGATTTGTTTTTTATAAATGAATGAAAACATGATTTGAACACATGAAATGTGTTTCTGTCAATCATCCAGTCACATTTTATTAAGAGGAAAGCTGCTGTAATTTGAAGGGATTAAAATCAGAATAAATCTGAAGGACTTCAGTAAAAACAATAAGACTCTGGAAGAAATATGAAATTATTTAATTTGTATGTTTGAGGAGTTATTG